GTATATGTTATGTAAGAAAGGCAGGTTACTTGCTGGTTAAAATTTTAATTAAATCTGCACCACTTGCTGTTAAATGCAATTTTAGAGGTGAGTACTGATATGGAAACACAGCTCCTTTTTCTTTTCTTCTTCCCTTGCTCTGGTGTAAAGCAGTTGAGCAGATTTTAGACTTGCCCAGTGCTGTGGAAAGGAAATTCTGTGTCACTGTGGTGGAGGCTGAACCCGAGTGTTGAAACCAAAAGGGGATCCCAAATCCCGTTGTCTGGCATCCATATGTTCAGTGGCAGCTTCAACCATAAGAGATCTGATTTTTAATGCAGCTTTGCCTTTTAAACACTCCAATATTTGCTTCCTTTGGCCACCTTAAAGGATAATTTTTCAGACATAAACGCCAGGATTGGGTTTTATTGCCCTGAGTTTCAGCAGAACATCTTCTAGGTTTCAAAACCAGGATTTGCCTCCCTGAAGAACGGGAGGGGTTTGGCACAATTGTGATTATTTCCACACATTTTGCTCGTCTGAAGCATCTTAAAACTTGACTGTGAACTCCTGAGGCTCCAAATTCACTGTTTTTTTGAGTAACTCAGTAGCTGCACCACCATCAGAGTTCAGTGGGAGCAGATTTACTTGTCTTGAGCTGCAGTTTGATTCTGTTCTTAAATTCCAAGTCCATTGTGTCAGCCAAGAGAGTCCAAAGTTACTTTATCCTGAATAAATCTTCCTTTGAGGATGGGAAATCTGAACTCTCAGCCAACACTGCAATGGGACCCACATTTCAGGGTGCATTTGGAGACAATTGTTTCTGAAATATTTCCATTCATGTGTATTGTATTGGAATATATAATATTCCAATATACAATAATACAATATACAATATTCCAATATATATAAATACTGTATTGGAATATTTCTATTCATGTGTATATTGTAGAACTTGAGATTCAACTTGGGAAACTTTAAAATTTTTTTTTAAAAATTCCCCAATTTAAGGGATAGGTACATCAAAACTCCAAAGTCTTCTTTTTATTACTGTATAAGGTTTTTTTTTTTGTGTACAAGTGAACCAAAAATGTAGAATCTAAAAAAAAAAATAGGAGATTTGTTTGTTTTCTCTTATACCATCCTCAAAGCACAAGCATCATCCCTACCTTTTTTAGCCAGTAGGACAAAAAGCAAGAGCCCTTTGGAATATTTACTCCAGAAAGGAGATTTGCTCTTTGCTCTGGCTCAGAAGGAACTTAAGAGCTGAGAAAAACCTTGAATGAAAAATAGACCCTGTGAGAGATCTGAATAAATCACTGATAAATAGTTTGTGTCTAACATTTTTTTTTTTTTTTTTACTTTTGTTAATGTATTCTATTTATTATTTGAAATGAACAGTGCCAGAAATCTTTATCTGTGCTGGAAAGCTTTTCCCAGTTTGTCTCATAGCTAGGTATGAAAATTATGGCAAAGTTGCTTCACAGGGAGGAAAAAAAAGTAGATACAGCAGTGAAGGTGCATCTGTACCAGTAAAAAGGGGTATTTGCTGAAGCACCTTGTTGTTTTTGGGAAGTGGGTTTAATGTGTGACACGTGAAGAGCTCTTTTTGGGTTACAAGCTGTGTTTCTACCAAGCTGGTTGGGCATTTGGGAAGCCACTGCCACAGGTAGGATGATGCTTCTCTTAAGTGGCTTTCTGTAGAATTTACCTTTCCCTTAAGCCAAGGATTGATGACTATCAATTTAAAATATATGTGATTTAACTCCAGGGATTTAGGGGTTTTTCCTTGATAAATCCCAAGTTATTTGTTGGCTTGCAAGGCTTTGAGCTGCCTGTGTTTGAGCAGCAAGGGTGGGTTTGCCTTGGCTTGTTTTGTGTTCTTCTCCCTCCCCTCCTCAACTTGACTT